CACTGCACATTTGAGCGATACCTTTTTTTCAGCAATAATATCATTATAATGCTAATAGTTAAACATTATGTATATACTGTAAAGATATTTTTAGGCCACCAGTGTCTTTATTGATGAAACTGTCACAGGCCAGAATCTAATCCAGATGCTTTGCAAAGGGACTGAGCCCCAGCATGAGTTATACAAATACATGTTCTAACATATTTATTGATAATATATGGTAGTACAATTTGTACATTTTTAGTTTTGCTTTCCCATTTTAACATATTTATTTTAATTGTATTTCTTTACAAAATCAAGTCTATCTGTTTCTGAAAAGAGACATTCTTAGTACCTGCACTGTCACATTCACTTACACTGTTACTGAAGCTGAGATTTATTTGTAACAAACTCCAGCAACAAAGCTTTAGACTTGGAGACAGGGGCGGACTGGCCATTGGGAATACCGGGAGTTTTCCCGGTGGGCCGGTGCTGTGCGTGGGCCGGAGGGCCAAAACAAATAGGCAGGGAAACGGGGTTCAGGGGGAGTGGCTGTACCCGTAGGATAGAAAAGGGGGAAGTGACGTCTGACTCAGAGGTTGCGCGGCTGTGGAGAAGAACGTGTTGCCCACATTCTGTTACTGAGTTACTGCTAGTTAGCTAGCAGGTTTATTGTTTTGGGTGCAGTCACTTTTGCCTCCACTTGCTGTTCAAATAAATGTTGAAAGAAAAAGTAAATCTGTTCATATGGGTGTTGAGAGATGTATCCATAGATTTAGTCCCTAATTTTGCACTCAAAGTGCACCAGATTGATGCATTTAACTTCAACATTTAAAAAAAAAAAAAATGCCCCCGGACCCCCCAAGAGGAGGTGAGGTCCACCACCTGCCCACAAAATGAATAAATATATGCTGTAACTATTTTGCTCTTGGCAACTCAAGGGCTCAGGTAATGTGATTACTATATGAATAATGGTCCAAAATAACATTAAATGCATAGGGTTTTTTGTTAAGTAACATACTTTCGTCGCCGGCCGGCCGATACATGCCACACATTAAGTGGGCCTGTCTGTCAATTAATCCCCGGGCCACTTTTTCCTCCCAGTCCGCCCCTGCTTGGAGACAAACCAGTATTTTGTTTCTATTACTTATAAAGTCTCCCTCCATGGAGTGAAAATTGATTAAAACCCTGCAGAAGACAAAATAACAAAAGCCCTGCAGCAAATAGCAATTTGAAGAAGTTCATAATGTCCCGCTATTGTTCAGACTGTAAGAGCTGTTGATTAAACTTCGGTCATTTTGAGGCAGTTTATGAGTCTTTCAGCCAATGTTGAATGTTCCTGTCTTGCAATAAGTGGTCTGTTGTCCTTTTTCAGCTGCTTTTTTTTTTACAAAATAACACAAGTTTGAAGATCCAACAATAGTCGTTTTTTTAGGCATTTAAATTTTAACTTTTCATCATTGGAAAAAATACCGCAGGGGTAATTTATAAACTGTCTCTGTCCCATTCAGATGCTCCTGTTCTCCATTATTGCACTTAATGTCTCTCTGGCATGGCTTACTGGGACACTTTAAATGTAATGGAGCCATCATTAACTTTATTAGTTACACCTGTGCATTTCCTATTATCACAGTTCCTTCATTTGGGACTACCTGGCCTTTTTCTGCCACTGAAAGTTGTCTTAATTTACCTTGAAAAGTCAATTAAAAAGCTTAAAACAATTCTCATTTGATATTCTTCTTAATAAATTCCCTTTGAGGTACAGAATACAACGACATTGCAAACTACACCCTCAAAGTTAATCATTGAGTTAAATATTATAGTTGTTATTAGTCTATTGTTTAGCTTTTAACTGTGTCAGGCCATCTTGATCCTTAGCACAACGTGGAAATACAATGACAGACAGAAATCTTAGTGATATTTTTTCTTTTTAGCTATCGAGTGCTTGCTCACTTTTTTACAAATCATTTTCTTCAGTTAATCAGTAGGTAATTATTCTTGGCAAAGGAAATAGGTACTAAAACTTGATTTGATTAAACTCAGGAATCAATTTAAAAGAGAAAACAAAACTAGTTTGACTGCCAAGGTTTAAAGGGGGATGGGATTATTCGACCTGACCTTATTTGTTATAATTTCTAATAGGGCCACCTGTTCAATTACCACCTGTAAAGGTTAACTAAAAATGTTACTACAAAATAATAATCGCATCTAAATTTGAGTGTTTCCCAGTTTTTCTTAAGGTAATTCATTATCAAAAGATTGACTAAATTACAACATTTGAAAGCAGGTGGTAAAAATAAATTGTGCGTTAGTTGCTCATAATTAAGATGGACTGATAATTCTTCTTAGGAAAATATCACTCGTCACCGGCTTGGTCTTCAATATCAGGGTACAGTACATGTATTCATTATCCTTGCAAGAATGGAAGTAGTCATCACTTACAGAGCTGCATGGGACAAAATAGTTCCCGGAACAGTGTCCTTGACATGCCTTAAATACAAGAGAGGGTGTTACAGTCACAAGATGCAGAATACCGGTTCAAAGCAGTATTCGATGCTTAGTTCAGATTAGCTAAGGCCTGCGTAAGCAATAAACATGACTATATGACTCATATGTCTATATCCATAGAGGCTGAATCATCATGTTAATCGTTGTCTCATCAAATGCCTAAAACAGTGTGTCCTGACGCTCTTCTGGGTAATCATCCTGTTACGTACACAGCTACGTAGGGCCTTTGTTATCATGTGCTACTCTGATACTGGAAGAGCACATTCAGTATTTTCCCAACAATTCTTGAAGCTCTTTTCTGTAGCATGTACATTGGATGGATGAAGTGTTTTTTTCACATGTTTCCCCATACCTCCACACATCAGTAAATCGGAGCGACCCTACCTGTGGTGACGGCCTTGGCCAGTCGGCGCAGCCTCCTCTGGTGCGTCTTCCCTCGGTAGTGGATCTGGGCCTGGGCGCTGGAGTTCAGCTGTATGTTGCACACCTGGCACATCGTGGCACTGCTGCTGCCCTGACGACGCTCTCTCTTGGCCCTGTGCACTGACGCCAGCTTCCTCTCTTCCTCCTCCTCCTCCTCCTCCTCATCCTCCTCCTCCTCATCCTCCTCCTGACTCCTGGGAGGAGGGCTACTCTCCAGCGGGTCAGGGCTTTTCGGACGCTTCATATCTGGAGAAATACAAATAAAAAAAGGGTATTAATCAAACGTGTTGACATGTGAAATAGAAAAAATACAGCCCCGTTGTGAGGCATTTCAGCAGAATGTTTGTAGTTAAAGTCTCCACAGGGGGGCAACAGAGCAGCGCGGCTCCTTTCAGAGCAGATGAAAATTGCTCTTTTTCTTCAGTGTGATTCAAACTGCAATTTGATGAGCACCACCATTACAGTGCTTTTTATTTCATTCTACGAAACAGATTTTATAGGCAGAAATAAACATGCTTTTCACTTTATCTACATCCTTTTACCAGAGCGTTCACTGTCAGCATGCACAAATATAATATATGCAATCCCATTAAAGAGCTCAAATTAAGGCCACAGTATATGACATTTTTTACATAGTACAACCCGACCCTTGGACATGCGTTTAGCTGAAAGGAATTGGCTATCTCTGGCACAGCACTACATCAGAGTATAGTCTGCAGATGAGTATCTTGTTCCAGCTTCTTTCAATTGAACAGATAATAAAAGCCGATTCCCGGGGAACAAAAAGCTACATGTTTCTTTGTGTGAGCACACAGCCTTAATACCTGTAATGGCTGAGCGATTGCGGCACACGTACAGCATAAATCAATCTGCAGTAATAACACGAGCGCTGCTGTGAATGTGGAAATGTCACCCCAAGTCTAACTCAATTCATTGTTTTGGTGCTGCTGTTCATATGATAATGGCATCAATTAAGTCCTCATGGTACTGGACATTTTTTCCTTCCCGCCTCGTGAACGCAACCCCCGCCAAACAGCAAGCAGCACTTGTAAAAAAAAAAAAAAAAAAAGTCTTTGCTGTTCTAGAAATTCAATTTCACTGGTGAGAGATGAAAGTGGAAGGGGAATGTGTTCACTGGAATTCATCAACCTCCGACCAGCAGCAGGGACTTCAAAGGTGTAGCCCATCATCACCGTGATTATTTGAATGATGCCTGCCGGTGGAGAGGAACATGAGTGACTGCTGGTGAGGATGGAGATTGTTTGAGGAGCATTTTAACACAACAAGGTGTATGAAAATAAACAAGCCTGCCTCAGAGAGATTATGTTAAACTATTGTAATTGGAGCAGCGAATATGTTTTGAAATACATGTAAAGCTGACTGGATTATGTATAATTCCTAGTAACATAATTGCAAAATTCTGTTCACCGGCTGCTCTGTATTTTGACTGAAAGTCCCGATTTTCAACCGGCCTTTGCCCAGAGCCTAAGTTGATGTCTTCAATTGCAATTCAGTTCATCGACAGATTAATAATCGATTAATGTCGATCTTTTAACAATCAATAAATCATTAAAGTGAGTTTCTGTTCAAAAATAGCAGAACATGCCTTGTTCAGCCTCCAAAGTATGGAGATTTCTGAATTTACTCAATAAATCTTTACCACGTTTTTAAAGAGGACATTTAAAACCTAGTACGTCCAAATATTTAAAACAAAAAGGAACAATTTCAGTTAATCTACTGACTGATTGAGAAACTAATATTTATTTTCTTGGCTGGTACTTTTTGATTTGATTGCTGAACATGTACCAATGATACATGTCAACAACCAATTAATTGTATTCCCCAAAACAAGCCCCAGACAGGAATATGCTGCTGTTCACTGTCTGATTTTAAAGAACATGTCTCAGTTCTATCAGACTAGGCTGGAGCTCAGACTGATGCTGTATTACCCTAAGTATTTTGTGAGTAAATGGTCTGCTTCACAGACAGTATTGATGTGTAGACCGCAGACAGGGTCAGTCTGAGGGAGGTGTGAGTTAACATACTTTAAGGTGGTTTGCATTGACAAGGTCTCTCCATGCAGGGATAGCATGGATGGTAAAACTACAAGATGTCAGTTTAGTCCTCTTTTGTTATGCAAATGGTCATGTTGTTGAAAACTCATGGAATAAGGACAATTTCATATTCAGACAATGAGTTAGAGAAACTGTGAGACGTGATTCAGCCTGTCAAGAGATGTTCAGGAAATATAACAGATTAATTTCCCGATAAATAAAGCGTTAATCATCTGTTTATCTGTGAGTTTTATTATATGGCTAAATATGGTTTTAAATAAATAAATCAAAAATAAATATATCAATTCACTAAATAGTTTTTTTTTAATGTATTATTAAACCAGGACACAGCAAATTGGAAAAAGAGAACTGCATTGTAACAAGTAATCTCATTTGGGTGTAAACATTGGACAAACCTTAATCAGGATTAACTTGAATTCATATTTTAAAGATAACATGTATTGTAATTTCCCTATTGTCACCAATGCAGTGATTTCAGTCAGTGTCAGCCTGAATTCAATCAATTGTGACAAGTATAATATTGTTTTACCGTGCGGCACTGTGAAGCTGCTCCTGTTGCTAAGGTCTGATCATGCACCTTGACGTAGTCTTGGTGTAAACTCTCCATCACACCGGAGCCCCCCGCCCTGCTCCCCTCATCATCTTTATGTGGTCAGCTGGATTTGGCACCTGACAGCCTCATTACAAAACTACTTCTCACAGGGTGCCGCTCGGGCAGCAGCTGCTGGTCTCTGCTGGCTCTCTGCTCCACAGCCCCGGCCCTACTGATGGAGCGGGCCTCCGCCTGCAGCTGGGACCACCAGGCCCTCTGCTACAGAGATGAAGGCCTACGTTTCTGGAGCATTGAAGCATTTTATTTATCCTATATGTTAAGATTTCCTTTTTGCCAGTGTTGTAGATTGTAAAATATTGTGTGTAACATAACATCCTAAGAAAAGCCCTGTTTAGTTGTGATGAACGCGACTGGAGTGAAATTGTCAAACAGGAATTGATTATTTGTTTCTGTTTATAACAAACTCAGAAAAGCAATAATCTGGACAGAAACCCAGAAATACACCGTTGACTTGCGCTCTCATTACCACTGAAGAGAGAACAAGTTACTGAGTATGTGCCTTGTTCTTTTTTCTGTCAAGCATTAACAAGAGCAACACATTTGTATGTGTTATTTCATTTTGATCTGCAAGCAAGTTATCACAAAAAGGTTTAAGGTTATTAACACACACAGGTTAAAGCTTCTCACAACATTTAACACTAGCAATATTAGCACAGGGAATTATGCTGAATTGTATGTGTGTCCCAAACAATTATATAACATATACCTATGTTGCAAGGAGAGACTAAATTAAATTAACACTAAATAGTGAAAAACATTGGTCCCATACTGCTAAATTTAAATTCGAAAAAATGGTTTATTGTATAAACAGCATATTATTATACTAATTCCCATTACTAACTAAATGTGTTTGATCGCCAAGATTTCTATTATGAAGCTACACAAAATAAAAACGTGTTCACTGTATCTTTTCCGCTGTGCCCTCAGTTGATTGATGTGATATGTCACAAGTTTAAATAATATCAATGAAGCATTTTAAAATTGTAATAAATGACAATCTCAGGCCTACATTTTATCATTTAAAAGTAAAAATAGTTGTTTGGCATTCAATCCAAGTTATGTTTGTTTATTTTTCACTTTAAGAAAAAAAATCTAATATATTATGTGCAGATGGGACTCTTCTATCTTTTAAAGGACAAAATAAAATGGAGAAATTAAGAATTCCCGAGCACAACTGGACTGCTAGAAATAAATTAAACCTCAAAGCAGACTGAATGAGAATAAGAAAAAACAAATTAATGCATGATAAACTATTGAACTACGCTCATTAAAAAGGAGAGCATCTAATTGAGCGTGATATTGAGCAAATTATCATGGGAACTGAACAACTTTAAAAACTCCTACCAGCAGAAGATACACACAAATGTAATTAACAGGGAACTTGTCACTCAAAAACTGAATTCATTTTGCAGTTCCCTAATATCACATTCGAATCATAATTGCTTCCAGAATTTCCTTTTTTTTGTCATACAGGAGAGTTTCATAATTGACTTACTGGTGGTGTTATCCAGGCAGGAGCCATGAGGTCAGTCTACGTACCATGTGGTTTCAGACAAATCCAAAGGAGCTGCCAGCAGTAGGATCTATAATTATCATGCAACTAGTTTGTTTGTTGAGAAGTTTCCTCATAAGAAAGCTCTGAGTTCAACATCAGAAACACAGAACCTTTATCTGTAAACGCAGTATCTGTTGTGCTGGCCTCTTAGTAGCAAAGTATCTGGCCTCAGCAGCTCTTTAAATACCAGCACTCATCAGCCTGTCTGGCTGCTGGTCCACCATCAGGAAACACAAGCCAAGAATATAAAGCAAAGGTCGTAAATGCTGCTCTATGTACTCTCTCTTTCTCTGACCTGATTCCCCTTATGAAGTTGAAATCATAGACAAGTAGCATAAGACAACTTCTTACTGAAATAACTGTTTAAAATCACTAAATATTGTGAAATTACACCCAATTGTTCAAATGTTCATGAGCAAAAACATTAACAGGTTTCCATCAAAGTGTATCAGAGATGTTTGATTTCAATGAGAAAAATAGGCAAGATTATAGTGCTATCATCCACTACCATTATTACTTTATTAGTATTATGTTCATTAAAGTAAGCAGAAGTTGGCGCCATCATGTTTACAGGAGAAAAATAGTCAGACTTGATAGGAATATGACATTATTCTTTTCCCAATGCACTCTGTCACATTTTGCTTTAATCGAGACACCAATTCTTTAAAACTCATAAAAAGGGTGTTCTGAATTTTGGCGTTTCCACTCGGCTTTTTATGCTCGTACTAAAAATGCTCTGAAAAGGAGGCGGATGGGATTTTGCAATATAACAAAAAATATTATCCATAGTATATATTTTTGAGACAGAAATATCTTTCTTAAAGCTACAGCATCTGAAACTATCTGTTTATTGATTTCTCACAACTCTTAAAAGGAGAACATGTCCCAAATATCCAGCGGTATTACACCCAGCCTTTGCATCTTGTTAAAGGATTCCACCTAATGACCAGGCAAACAACACAGCAGATACAATTAGGTTCAACTGCTTGAAGTCTCTTTGTGTGACACTCTACTAACTTTCCCCGCGGCCAACTGCGTGCTCCACATCTTTGCTTTATGATCTGAGACAGCTGCATGGATATGACCTGTCAACTCATAAATTACTCTATCAAGGGCCTCACCATAGACTGTATATACACTCACGAGTGGCTAGAGGTTAATGGGCTTTAGCTTTTTGTCTTTATGTCTTTATTAGGATCCCCATTAGCACTAGCATGAGCATTGGCTATTTTTCCTGGGGTCCTCACACACTCAAAACATACATAATACAAACCAGAACAGAACAACTCATCATTTCATGAAAAGTGCATGGTAAGGAAGTGAAAGCAAAAACAA